TATTTTATTTTTAAAATTTGTATGATATATTTAAATTTATATTTTATTTAAAAATAAAAATATTATCGTTTTCTAAAAATCATTAAAAACCATATTATATCGACATAAATAAATAATAAAATGAAACATTAAAAAGAAGATATATCTCGTTATATTATACAAGTATCATTCTAGTTTTAAATAACAGAAAAAAATAATCAAGATTAAAAAATTTTAAAAAATATATTATGGTTTAAAATTCTAAATTGAAAATCAATATAGATATTTTATTCATATCCTTTCTCTCCTTTCCACTTCATTCACACCTGGCAGTGCTTTGACTGGAAAAATAAGAGTTTATTTCAATTTACACACTTGTGTTTTGTTAAACTTCAAAAAACACCCTCTATTCCTGTTATTCCTCTTTATGCCCCCAAGATAAACCATCGTTAGAGTTATAATCCCAAACAAATCCTTAATTAGCTCGTCTTCATCTTGCGACGACATGTTCATTAACATGTCATAGATTTTTTTCCGGTTACATTTGATTTTGTTCAAGTTTCTCAAATTGGAAGTATGTACGTACTCTGAAGTTTTTGTATATCTTTATTTATGATGAAAAGACGAAACTCATGCAATGTTTGGTTTTTAATGAATTAATAAACTTCAGTTACGTAATGTCAGCTTGTTTCATGATATACCCATGTACGTATTTGACTTAAAGCAATAAAATTAAGCAATGTTTAGTTTTGTCATATATTGACCTAAACTGACTAAACCAGTTAAATTATAGTAAACTTTATTGGGGTTGACATGTTTTGAACTTCACTAATCAACTGTCTGTTAGAGTAGTACATAAACCCGATGGCCTGAATACCCTACGAATCCAACTGAAGGTGGGTCTATAAAATTAACCCAAAACCGATCGGATCTTAAAATCCTACAGACTTCGATGGTTGGGTCAAATAAGAGCTAGGACCAAATCTACCCAACAAGGCCGATCAAAAAAAGGTATATAAGAACCACAAAAGTGGTGTTCAATTGGTTTGAGCTTGGCTATAAAGGTCAAAAATACCAGGAGGTCTCAGGTTCAAATCCAATGATGAATAAAAATCCTCTTGTGGCCACGGAGGTTCTCGGGCTATCTGCAAAGCAGGTGGTCGCTCTATAATTAATCCGCTCGCATAGCGGGTTGGATATCCAGGTTAATAGAAAAAAAAGTATATAAGATGGTAAGGATTTTTCGTTTTGTTTCAATATTGTTATTTATATGAAAAACGAGAAGCGTGCTACAAACTAAATACTGATTGAAAGAAATTCTCGTTTTTTCATATAAATTTTGAAGGGTGCTACATGATATAAGAAATTCGCAAGTACAATATTTCATGAGTCAAGTTGTATGCTTTTATTCTTGAGTCAGATAATATAAAATCTATTAAATAGTCAGAATCTTTTGTAATATCCCATTATATAGTGAATTTCCTTTAATACATTAAATTATGTTATATAATGTTATGATGGATTTTAATGTATAGGATATTTAATTTACACGTTTTTAGTAGGTACATAAATAGTTATTTTTTTGTTGGCATTTTCTAAGTTGCAACAAATTGCTAATGTGACAAAACAACTTGCTCGTGATTGGTCCAAGTATATGTTGATTTGAACAACACTAGAATCAGCATCGAACTTATGATTTTTGTTGAACGGCTGCACCACTAAGATGGATCAAAGGCCTACAAAATCGTTCGATGTACTTTTAGCTGAATTCCACCATTTTCATGGATTAATAAAGTTTCTTGGTTGATTTCGATAGCCATTTTTTGATTTTTGGGTTGATTTCAAGAGACCTTTGGTTTTTTCGTTGACGTTCTTTGCATTTTCTAATATCATGTAGCACCCTTTAAAGTTTAGTTTGTGGCTTTGTGCATCTCTCGTACTAAAAAAAAACAAGAATCTCGTGTTTAGCAGCTTTCTATTTTAAATGATTACAATGTTTTTCGGTTTTTGCACTAGAATTATACCTGGGTTGGTTGTTACGAAAAAAGGACCACTTAAGAACGGTGACTGGGCCAGTAAGCATACCCTTCATTGGGCGTTTGTCATTTCCTGAGCCAGGGAGGACCAGAACAACAACCATGGCCTTGGGTTGGCTAACATCACCGTAGATGATTGGTGGCTTGACACATCGAGACCCATAAGATTGCAACCATCCGTTAGCGGTGAAGGCAAAACCAGACAATTGCTCACCGAAGTACTCAACCATGTCGTTTCTCTGAAACATTAGATGCATCTAGACGACTTTCTTGTTAGATTTTAGAAATAGAATATCAAAATACTTCTAAGGATGGTGTATAAAACACTTTCAAAAATCAATGATTTCGGCCCTATAGCCTGGGTACCACGAAATCAGATTTGGGATAATCTAAGAACAACGATTTGGATTTCAGGCAAAATCCAAGATCACAAACACAAAATTTCATGCTTGTTTATGTACCTTAAGAGACAAAATTCTGGCAGAGTAACCGTATGCACAAAGACGGTCACTTCTTTAAAGACCATTTTACACATGAAACTTAATCTTATGGTTAACAAGAAAATAACACCTCCAAAAGTGCATAATATGTATACATGCTGCAAAAAACAGACGTACATAGAGATTTTAAGGTCCCCAGTACAGACAGCAAAGAAAATTGACGAATTACAGTTTTACTATGTGAGGGATCAAGAATCTTACAGTAGAACAATATGTATCTTTGGGACTAATATCAGATTGAACAGTTTATAAATTTCTGCTACCCCGCTATCAAGAAAATGAACTCATCAGAAATCCAAATGTGGGTTAATCAAATGGCAGCCAATGGGGCAGCAGATTGATCAAAGCTACCACGAAGTGCCTTTGTTCGAGAACCCCTCTTTTTCGTTGAGCCTATCTCCTTGTCACTTTTATTTGCAAATGCTGGTGCAATTTTGCTGATATGTGTGAATTCATCTTTGTTGGCACCTGCTTGGATGAGAACTCTTTTGATTCCTGAGTAGTTTAGTGACTCCGCGATTTGCATTGCTGTAGCACCCTTGTTGGTTCTCACTTCCACGTCTGCACCCTTCTTAACCAGCAGCTCGAGCAGGTCAACATGTCCAGATTCTACAGCACAGTGCAGGGCTGTGTAACCATCTTCATCTCTTGCATTGATATCGACTCCTTTCTTGATCAGAAATCTAACCACATCATCCCGGCCCTTGAACGCGGCTCTGTGCAAAACGGTCCATCCGTGCTGGTCCTGCCCGTTGATCACAGCTCCGCTTTCAAGAATCTTGTTGATGGTTCTGACTTCGCCTTTTCTTGCAGCTATACACAGCCTGTCACCAAGGCCTAGTGCATCAAAGAGCTTTGTGTGTCCCTGCTCGGCCGCCAAATCATATGCCCTTTTCCCAGAATGGTTTCGGATGTCTTTGTAAGCTCCCTTTTGCAATAGAAGCTTGACCATGTAGTCATCTCCAAGGGCTGCAGCTATATGCAATGGAGTGTCACCTTCGCCAGAATTACGGATATCGTGCCGTGCACCGCTAGCCAACAACAGCCGGGCACAGTCCTTCCTCCTCTCCTCCACCGCAAGGTGTAAACCCGTGTTCCCATCTTTTGTAAGCATGTTCACATTAGCACCTTTAAGTAAAAGGAGCCTTAAAACATCTACATGGCCCCCTCCAGCCGCGAGGTGAATGGGACCCCATATGGATGACTCTAACCTGTCTGTGCTGGCTCGATGAGCCAGTAAGAGTTCGACAATCAAACCTTCACCCGAGCATGCTGCAGCCTCAAGTGGGGTCGAACCAAATCTGTTACGAGCCTCTATATCGGGTCCAAACTCAAGTAGTAGCTGAACTAGGTCAGCTCGATTCTGAGCAATTGCCAAATGAAGCAACGTTTGACCTTCACCATCAACCGAATCAACAGCTCTCCAACTCGGATCACCCTTCTCTAACACATCCCTTATTTCATCCATACATCCATTCTTCACGAGACTAGCCATCACGAGCGAGCCAACAAACATGACCCTAATACCACTATCAACAAACACCTGCTTCTTCCTTGCCGTAAACCAATCACTAGGGACCAAATCATGAGTCGACGAAGGATTCTTAACCGCCGCACCAGGAACCACCACACTGTGCAAAAAGAAAGAATCGTCACAATAAGGGAGCGACTTAGGGAGGCTTGAATTCTGATGGAAATCATAAGTGATCTCGATGGTCACAGTCGTCAACGGAGATATAATCCCCGACTGAGGACGGATACTATACCGAGCCTTGTTCACCGGCTGCAACCGGAAAGCCACAGGCATGGTATACATGACGTTTCTCAAAACAAGCTCACCGCAACACTTTTGCCCATTTTCGATCCGTATCAAAACCACATTGGACGGCTCTAAACTGATCAACCGATCCATGATCCCCTGTTCTTATTTCAACGCTGCTAGCTTTGAATCTTATGATACTTTAATGGGATTTTTTGTACAGAAATGAAAATCCATTAATGAGCAGGAGTAGAGTTTAGGCAGCAAGGAAGAATGTTGGATTATGGTATAAATAGAAAAGTGCCGGCGATTACAAAGATCTGCCAATTGGTGGTTGTGAAGAACAATGGTGACTTGGTCTCTTAGTTTGTACAACTTCAAAGGCAACACAGTTGGTGGTTTGTACCTGTTGCTGTGTGTCACTTTCATGGTGTTTTTGTGCCTTAAGAACATACAAACACTACATAGGATTTAGAAACCACATTTGGCACCATTGTCTTCCATATTTACCATACAAACAAATACTGTTTTGATTGTAGATGCTCTTGTCTCTCTGTATCACAACTAAATATTGTTTTTAGTTTTATAAAATGAGATATATAAAATATTAATAAAATATGTCACTTGCTTTAAATCGAATTAGAAACAAATTTAACCGCATAAAGATTCTTATTTGGTTAAGCGGATCGTTTAACCCAAAAACCGTTTAACCCAAATTTCATTTGGTTTAAATGGGTTATTCGGTTTCAATTATTTTTGACAGCAAAACATTAGATTAGATGGGTATTTGTGGTTAAATTAAGATATTAAATCAATGTTTCAAAAAGTCATATATAACAGAGACATAAATAATATAAATCGTTTGTTATTTTATATTTTGGTTAAAGTTGTTAAACCATCATTATTGTGATGACAATATAATGCTACAATTTCTTTCTCCCCCCTCAAGTAAGACAAGAGGAGGAAAAGAAACCAGAAGCCATTCATATAATCGTTAGTTAAGCAAATATTAAAATTATAATCATAAGCAAATATAGAGTCTTAAAGGATTGGAAATTCTGTCACATCTTCATTTTACAATATTATAGATTTAAAACTTCCATTTGTTACTTTTTTTTTTTTTGAAAGACAAAAAAGGAAGGACAAGGAGGAGAGCTTCGGCATGGCCATCACCCTCACCAAGCCAATCAATAAAATTAAACAAAACGATCCAGCAATAAGCTAGACACAAGAGGAATCAAGAATCCACAATAACAAACGAAAACAAAAAGAAGCAAAAAGAGACATCCCCAAACTAAAGCCAAAGCAAAACCCAAATCTGAGACAAGCAAGTAGACTAAACAAGGTAAGGAGAAGAAGACCAACTATCCYAAYTAAKATGGAACTTATGATTCCTGTTCCCCATCCAAAGCTTGGAAAAATTTTGAACACCTGGGAATGGGTCTTCACCTCTCTTCTTAGCTTCCGCATCATCCTTAGCATGAAAAATTTCATTCCACCACTTCCAAAGTTGCCAAAGCGCCACGGCGCACACTGATAAGAAAATCACTCCAACCTTACGATGAGTACCTACTTGTTTGATCAACATTGTAAAATCAGACACCGAGAAAAGCCGCGAGGCTTTAAGATCCCACCAAGCCCATATTTTCCTCCAAAGAATGCTTGCCACCGAACAAGAGAAGAAACAATGGTCCAAAGTTTCAACACCTTTGCCGCAAAAGATGCACTCCAAAGATTGTAACGGAATTCCTCTTTTTGAAAGATTGAATCTTACCGGAATGGCCTCTTTAAGGAAGCGCCAAGTGAAGATGTTTACCTTCTTAGGAATTAAAGGACTCCAAAAAAACGGATCATTGCTTCCAACATTTGTCTCAACCGCCCCTTGAATTAATTTGGACAATAAGTTGACCGAAAAAATCCCGTTCTTGTTCCAATTCCACAACCAAATATCCTCACCCGAAGTATTGAAATCCACAAGAGAGAGTTGCCTTTCTAGGGCTTGAAGATCATCTAAGCTTCTACCCCTAATCATTGTTTTCCAATCCCAAKCACCATTCCAAGAACCATTAATATAAGTCCATCTGTCTTTGAAAGAAGCATTTTTATTCCTTTCCAAGGCATAAAGTYTGGGGAAAAGGTCTTTCAACTTTGAGCCTTGTCCGATGCTCGCATCTTTCCAAAAAAGAGAAGAAGAATCTTTAGCAACCTTTTTTGTAAACGAAAGGATGACATTCTGATATGCAACTTCCACGTTTTTGCAAGTGTTGACAATAGAAACCCAAACTCTTTTTCCAACCAAAGGCCTATTTGAAAAAAGACCACCATCCTCACCATAAAATTCAGAAATGACATCCTTCCATATCGCATTAGAGCTGGACAAGAACCTCCATACCCATTTTGCTAACAAAGCAACATTTTTCGTTTTTAAGCTAACGATACCCAAACCACCAATCGACTTAGGGCTCAAAATTTTCTCCCAAGCAACCCAATGCAATTTTTTTTCATCCTCCTTAAAACCCCAAAAAAAATCTTCTCCTTATAGATTCCAAAGTTTTTAAAACTGAGTTGGGTGCTTTGAACAGGGAAAAGAAGAACAGCGGAAGAGAAGATAACACCGACTGAATTAGAGTATATCTTCCGCCTATGGAGAGGTAATGAGACTTCCAAATTGAAAGCTTTTTAAGGAATTTATCTTCCACGACGGACCATGAAGCTTTTTTGTTCACGTTACCTCCAACAGGAAGCCCCAGATAAAAGAAAGGAAAGGAAGAGGCCTTACACTTTAACATAACTGCCATATTATTGACTTCTGCCTCCGAGACACCAATACCAAAGAGATTGCATTTGGATAAATTAATGCGCAGTCCTGAAACATCATGAAAGCAGTTAAGAATATTAGTAAGAGATACAAGATTTTTACGAGACCATTTTCCAAAAATTAGAGCGTCATCCGCAAATTGAAGGAGAGAAAGATTCCGGTTAGAATTCGCAAGCCGGATGCCCTTGAACAACCCCTGATTGCAAGCAGTCCTGATCATGATCTGTAAGACTTCCCCCACGAGCAAAAAAAGAAACGGAGAAAGAGGATCTCCTTGCCTGAGACCCCTATTCATGCAAAACTCATCAGAAGGCGATCCGTTTATCAAAATAGAAGTGGAAGCCGATTTTAAGCAAACACTGATCCATTTGATCCATTTCTCTCCAAAGCCCATTTGCTCCAAAGTGTGAAAGAGAAAGTTCCAGTTTACAGAATCATAGGCCTTTTCAAAATCCACCTTGAAAAGAAAYATTTTCATTTTCTTCTTTTTGGCGTGACTCACAATTTCATTAGCTATTAAACAACCATCCAACATTTGCCTTCCCGGGATGTAAGCGGATTGATTACCACTGACGAGCTTGCCCATAACCTTCACCAATCTATTAGTCAGAAGCTTAGCAATAATTTTGTACATGCAACCAAGTAAACTGATGGGCCTATAATCCGAKATGTCCAAAGGATCAATTTTTTTAGGAATCAAAGCAATAAAAGAAGCATTGCATCCCCTGGAAATCCTACCCGTTTTTTCAAAGAAGGTTACCGCATCAACTATAGACCTGCCAATCACTGACCAGAACTTCTTAATAAAATTGAAATTTAAGCCATCAGGCCCAGGAGCTTTTGACCCATTACAAGACCAARCRGCCTCCTTTATTTCCWGAGAAGAAAARGGCRATTCCAGAAAAGCGGCATCATTAAACGATAATTTAGAGAAGAGAGGGCTGAAGAACTTTGGCCTAGAAGAGCAAGGTTCTTTGAACCTGTCAGCAAAGTGCTGTAAAAAGGCATTTTTGACRACCAAAGGRTYAGAGTTCCAAACCCCGTTGCAAATGATCCCTTTGATTTTWTTCCTTCTCCAACGATGATTAACAACATTATGAAAGAACTTCGTATTTTCATCCCCTTCTAAAGCCCATGTAGAGCGCGATTTTTGAATAAGATCCAACTTTGTACGATTTTCCAAAAGCATCAGTTCAAAAATCCATTCATCTCTTTTTTGACAATCGGCAACTGAAATACCCCCCTTTTCAGCTTTAGAATCCCAATCGACCAAGGCTTTAGAAATTTCATCTTTCCTTTTTGATTCGGTGGCTAAAAAATTGTTTGACCAAATTCTCAAGTCTTTCTTWAGAGCTTTAACCTTCTCTTTAAAGACAAAATCAGCGGCCCCATAGAAAGAGCTTGAAGACCAATAAGAGAAGACCAATTTTTGAAAGTCGACAATACCCAACCATGAGTCAAAAAACTCTAAACGGTTTGGGCCCCATATTAATAATGTGAATTTAAAAAAAAACAACTTTCTTTTGGTCATGTTGACATAACAACTTTCTTTTATGTTGTGATTACAGATTACAATGCCAATAACAAACATTCCCAAGGAGAATAAAAGAATATTATGGGAGTTTAATTGAAAAAAAATACCAACCATCATAAAAAACATAACCCTCAACACACAATGAAGATTGAAGGGCATGGCCACCCTTTTTTATGCTTAAAACGCAAAACACGAAAAAATATAACATTTAAGTCAACCGTTAGTTTATCTGGTTAGAAACTTAGAATATGGTGATGGCAAAGTCAAGGTTTTACGTCTTAGACATGACTAATTGTTTTGCATATACATGTTAGTTTCTCACAATCACATGTTTTTGGTGTTACTATTTCGATCCACATGTTATGATGTTTTTCGGCCCCTTTTCATGTTGATGCAACATAATATGTAGTTGTACAACAGAAGTAAGGAGTTTTTGATAAGTTACTCCACTCTAACTTGAATTTTGTTTTATAAATAATTCACTTAAAGTTTGTATTAGAAATGATTCCTTACTTTCTTTTAGTGTTTGGATGAGGAAGAAAAAGAAAATGTTTATACCGACGTTAAACCGGTAATAAGGAGTTTTTGATAAGTTATTCATCTCTAACTTATCATATTCAACTTATTAGCTTTGTAAACCAATTTACCTTTTTAACCTTAAACCTACCTTCTCCATTCGAGCGACCAGTGAAACAACCTTCGCTTGTAAATCGATAAAACCTTCACCTGCAAAAACGAAATCGACCTTCACCTGCAAAATCAAAATCGAAATGAAATCAAAATCGACCTTCACCTGCACAATCAAAATCGGAAATCGAAATTGACCTCCAACTCAAACCTATTTTTGGCCAATGATCAAACACTTGGTCCCTGTTTTTGGCCCACAATCAAACCCTTGGTCCTTGTTTTTGGCGGACGATGGGGACCTCTGCAAATCGATCAAACCCTTGGTCCCTGTTTTTGGCCGACGATGAGAATCTTTTCATGTCCTTTTTGGTCATTTACATGTATAAGTAAAATTTGTCAAACACTAAAAAATAACCTATCAGCTTATTATGTTTTGATAATGTTATAAGTTAATACAAACACTTTTTATAAAACACCGGTTTAACACATCATAAATTGATAAACACTTCTACAAAAAAAAAAAAAAAAACATAAGTTGTTTTAAATAAGCAATCCCAAACACCCTATGAATTGTGTATTTATTTCACCTATGTTTTACGCATGCAATAAAAGAAAACCTCTATTAACACTTATCATACAATATACTTAAATGAATTATTAAACTACAACAAGTCAACAGGATACGACAATGAAACAGTAATAGTTTATTCTTTTATCTTGTCCATTTCATCTGATTATCGATTAATTTTTTAATTAAACAGTCAATAAAAATGTAGCAGGCTAACAATTATCCTTACTTGGAACTTGTGTAACAAATATCATAAGAGCATAAAACATATGATTATCTGTGATAACCATCCAAAATATATTCATTAAAAAAATAAGTAATTACTGACAGTTTACACCCTCGATAAAAAAAATCAATCGATGAATAGAACTTCAAACATATACACGTTTTTATTTCACATGCAATGAAATTTACAAATCGTTGACAATTATACGGTATGTAAAACCAAATCCTTTTAATGTTGTCGTACCCTGGTTCCATTAGTCACACATCAATAATGTTTCAAGACGTCTGATAGTACTTGTAAAGAAATATGAACCCGTTCTTTTGAGACCTTAAAGTTTATTACATATACATGGGATTATGTGAGACCATGTTATTTTCGTGTGACATATGAGACCACCTAAATGACACTAAATTTTCACAACAAAACATTGTAAAAGTAACCTTCACAATATTTTTGTTGTAAAAGTTCAAAGTATTTTTTACCTTCATAATATTTTGCTGTAAAATTTCAAGTATGAGAAAAGGTTATCAAAAGGTACTTTCGAAGGATATCGGGACTCAATTCAATTTAGTACCACCCTTCCTGCCACCCGCCGCCGACAGATGTCCCATGCCACGTTTCGTGAACAGCTATGCCCGAGAATGAATGAATTGTGATATAGCGCCGAATAAGTCACAGCTCTATTCCCGACTTGAAATCCATATAAGCCTTGCACCTCTATTGAGTAATGCCTGAGTCGCAGCATCCAGGTMTGACCCAAATTGAGCAAGGGCAGAAAGGCAACACTACACTAGGGAGATTCGTGCTCCTCCCCGAGAAGCACTCTCTGTTATGTTCTCTCTCTCTCTCCCCCTTGGTCGACGGGGAAGAAAGAAATGAATGAATGTTCTTTTGGGAAAATGTAGAATAATACACCTACCGAGACGAAAGCCTTTATCGTTTTACGGGTCTCACGAATAGGTTGATCTCACGTGGACCCAACCCTTACTCCAAATACACTCATTCTAATAGCAGAACTCTATTTTTGTTACAATTAATACTGATCAACATCAATTACTGAAGATATTTTAATGGTTGTTCATAAGAGACGTTTCTAACCACAAGGGTGATGTCTGATTGGTTTGAGATTGACTCCAAAGGTCAAAAGTACCAGGAGGTCTCAGGTTCAAATCCAAGGAGGAATAAAAATCCCCTTGTGGCTAGGAGATTCAAATGCGGTGACTCCGAGCTATCTGCAAAGCAGATGGTCATCCTGAGGTTAGTCAGCTCGCATAGCGGGTTAGATATCCAAGTTAATAATAATAAAAAAAGATATGTTTCAAGTACTCTTCATATTTTAATGGTTGTTCGTAAGAATAATATTTCAATTGAAATTTATTTATTATATATCGTCAATTATTACAATGTATTGATATAAATGTTACCGATTCAAGAAATTAAGCATTTTATTGTATCTTGAATAATAATTAACAGTCTAATGTTTGTATTATATTAAGACTTTGTTTGATTTATAATTAACAGTCTAATGTTACTAAACTAAAATTCACATTATAAATCAAATACATATGAAACAAACATATTGTAAAACAAATATACATTAATCACTATATTAAATTATAGCTATTGAAAAAAAAAATCATATAATATAACAAATGATGCACTAATTCTCAAGTGATTTTACGATTTGAAGAGTTTTAAAAAGAATGTATCCTCAGAGTCATTATAATTTAGCTATGTTATTTAAATTTGATTAAATTTAATAAAAATAATATGATTATAAAAATATAAATATGTAATTGATATTTTATTTTGTTTCAATATAATTTTAAAAAAAAAATACAAAATAATATTAAATTGGTTAAAAAGTAAAAGTAATTTTAGAATCCATTAAATTAAACAAGAAAACGCAAAATTTATGCCCAATGCTTTCCATCTCATCCTTGTTTCATTCTCCCCTGCCCTAAAAGGAGAAATTTGCTGCGAGAAAACACACGTTCTTCACTTCCCTCAACATTACAAAGGATCCCTAAACCCTAACCGCCTAACGTTTCTCCCCCCCAAAACCCCTCTCTTTCAATGGCCTAATTAAAACCCTCTTCCGAAACAGATTTTCTTCATCAAGATTCAGATATGGATCCATCGCTCATCCAAGAAGCCCAAACCCAAAAATCATCAGCAAAAGCTGAAGCATTAAGACACTTGTCTTCTACCACAAAAATCCCTTCCTTCTCTTCTTCAATATCAAAGCTATCCGGGTCTGTAAGAGGCATTCCATGCAATAAAGATTTTCATTTCTACTTCAACTTTGAAGAATTCAAGATCCCAATTCAAGGAATCGCTAAAAACTCCCATTCTATTCTTGAAACAATTGGGTCATCAGCCGAGCAATTATGGGGCAAAAAGCAGACGGGCTTTCCTAATGGTGATCTTGATGATGATGATGAGGCTTATGATTGGTTAGTTAATTTTAACGACGAGCTGTTTGAAAGGTTTGATGCTTCTGTTGATGAGTTCAAGAAGATCAGAAATAAAGAAGAGGAAACAGGTGTTAGGGTTTTGAATGCAATGGATGAGGATGGGTTTCAGTTGGTTCAGGGCAGGAAAAAGAAAGTGTTTGATAAAGATTTACTAGCTAACAATAGCATTACAAGTAGTAGTGGTGATAATAATCTGGGTAATTCATCGTCTGTGAAGGTTGTTTCCAGGGATAGTAATGCGATGGGGACACCAAAGGCGAAAGTTTCGTTTCATATAGCATCAATTAGGAGGCCACAGGATGAGTACAAGATACTGGTCAACAATTCTAACCAGCCATTTGAACATGTTTGGTTGGAGAGAAGTGAAGATGGGTCCAAGTTTATACACCCATTGGTAAGTTACTTCTATCATGATTATTATTATTATTATTATTATAGTTTTACTTTGGTTGTAGGTTTCCCAAATGCTCCAATAGAATAAAGAATGATAGAAGCACATTTTGCACTTTATGGATGATCACTAATAGAAGCTTAAAGAATCTGTTCTATCTTGAAAATAAATGTTGGGCACTTGTTAACATTTTCATTTTGTGGGTCTTCTGATTTTGCCTAAGAAATGGGGATGTTATTCTAGGTCTCTAACTTATAGGTTGATTTCATATTTGTAAGCGATTCCATAGAACACTTTAAACTGATTGTCTTTTACTTGTTATGCATGATCATGAGTAGAGATCTAGTGAAGTGTTTGACCTTTTTTGTTCTTGCAAATAATCTGATGCCAAATCTTGGAGGAAGACTTAGTTGTTTGAACCCAAGAATACTGGATAATGTAAAATCAGCACCTTTAAATCACAAGAAAGTAAGTAATTGCAAACATTATTAGTCTTGCAATGCCCAAATTAGTTCAATCACGAGAACTAACAATTGAAAGGAATAAACCTCACAAATTATATGATTTCAAATACGATGCTTATAAAGCTTGCCCACACCACCTATTTATAGGTAAAAGTTTAGCCTTTTAATAATACATAAAAACCATTAATCGATCTATTTAACCCCCTTCATGAATTCAACCCGACTTCCAATATCAGTCATTCTCTTAATTATTCAGAGACTTCCTTTAATTCCGGCATACCTCTCTAACTATGCTTACAAAATGGGTCTTAATGTCATAAAGCCAACATTTCAAAATTACACAATGTTGATCAAAGTGGGCATGTGGTCTTGGATTTTTTTAAAGCTTCCTTAGAGTGGGCTGACACAATTTAAGTTTATAGGGCCTCTTGCATCTTCTTTTTTCTTGCATGAGTCATTGGTCCATGTATCCTAGAAATCACGTCCTCAAGCTTGCCATCAATCTCTGTTTTTCGGTTCTTGGATTCCCATCAGAATGGTTCTTAATTCATTTGAGCAACTTAACATTTTCATTTAGCGAGTCCATTTAGAAACAAATATATTAGTGTGTGTCTTCAATTTTATTTTGATTGTAGATTTCCAAGTGATTCCATGAAACAAAGAATGGTAAGAACATATTATATTGATTAATCCCTAACTTGTTATGTATAATCATGAGTAAATAGATTCCTTTTCGGGACCTATTCATCCTTCCCCAACACAGCATATAACTCTCCATTGTACTTCATATTCTTGAAAACAATGCAAGGCCCCGTTCATTTTAGCTATTTAATATTTCACTTTGTGGGCCCTATTGGTGCTCCACAAGATATAAAAATGTTATTGTGGCTCGTTAGATTTACTTTGATTCTAGGTGCCCAGGTGATTCCATGAAAGAAAGAATGGTAGATACACATTCAACTGATTGCTCTTTAATTTGTTATATATAGATCTGGGTAGAGGCCTGGTGTTAGTGTATGCGTTTGCTCTTGAACATTTTATTTTTACAAAGAATGCTTCCCTATCTGTTTATAATATTTTCTTTTTTTGGGTCGCATTGATATTGTGCAAGAAACAATTTTTTTAAGGTTTTCAAGCGATTTCATGAAAGAAATGATGTTAGGAACAAATCATACTCATTGCTATGTAACTCGTGCGTAGTCATGAGTGGGAGCTTAGTGAATCTGTTAGGTCTTGAACTTATATTTCTTAAATGTTACCCCCTTGTTCGTAGCCGTTTAGCATTTCACTTTGTAGGTCCCGTTGATATCGTGATGAATGTTATATTGCATCTACTGATTCTCCAAATAGTCCAATGAAAGAAAAAAAAAATGATCTGTTTGGTTTTGAATGTCATATTCTTAAAAAAAAGTTGGGACCTATTCATTTGAGCCATTTAGCAATTTTATTTTGTGAGTCTTACTGATATCTTTGAGAAAAGATGTTATTGTGGGTTCCATTGTTTGATCCACGTAGAAATAATCAAGATTGAATGTCAATTAACTTCTCATGTATCTGTAGGAGAAACTTTCGATCATGGATTTCATTGATAAGACGGTAAGCGATGTAGAGCTTGTAAAACCACCTCCGGTGGAAAGTACATCGTTCAAGCACGTACAAGAAGTAAAAGATTTGAAGGAGCTAGCTGCTAAATTGCGTGATGCCAATGAATTTGCGGTAATTTCTATGGCAGCATTTTATGTTTTATGGATTGATATGGTCAATGCGTTGCTTTATGAAGGACATGGATTTTTTTTATTGTATTATACTTGATATTTGAAATGCACTTTCGGTTAAAATGATCCAAAACACCCTTCAGTAACAATAAAATAAAAGAATTTCATTTCCAACATGTATACATGGTTAATATATCATTTGGTGTTCTTTAGGTTGATTTGGAACACAATCAATATCGATCTTTTCAAGGTTTGACTTGCTTGATGCAAATATCTACAAGAACGGAAGATTTTATCGTGGATACATTGAAACTACGAATCCACATTGGTCCTTATCTGCGAGAGGTTTTTAAAGATCCTACCAAAAGAAAGGTAATCTCTTTCTTGATGCAAATATCTACCAAAAGGTTGTAAACAAATATTCAGCTGTTCTATAACACTACAAACCATCAGGTTATGCATGGAGCCGATCGCGATATTATATGGCTGCAGCGGGACTTTGGCATATATGTTTGCAATATGTTTGATACTGGACAGGTTATCTTTCATCTCAACTCCCTTCTTGTTTTGCGTCCATCTGAAAGATATCTAAAATAAAAGTCAACTATATCCTTTGTGTTCTACCTTCTTGGGGTTGACTTGATGTGATTGTGGATTTGAAATCATGTAGGCCTCGAAGGTGTTAAAATTGGAGAGGAATTCTCTAGAGTATCTGTTGCGATACTATTGTGAGGTTGCCGCAAATAAAGAGTATGTATCTTTCATCCATTTATACGTAGACCATAGCAATTATTACTACTTTTCATTTTTGATTTAATTTTCAATTTCTTGCAGATACCAAAATGCGGATTGGCGATTGCGTCCACTGACTGATGAAATGCTGAGGTAGACTAGTTGTTTTATTGCAAAGTTGCCCGTGCCATTCATTTTTGCACATTTTTCGTCACGTTTGTTTTTATTTTAACAGATATGCTAGAGAAGACACACATTATCTTCTGTATATATATGATGTTATGAGAAGAAAGTTGCTTTTTTCATCAACAGATCCGGACTGTCCTGAAGCACCTCTTGTAGAGGTACACTTCAATATATATGCATATATATATATATAGTGAAAACTATCTAGTTCCTCATCTTCTTATTTCTTGTGATTTCATTAATTTTAATGATTTATCGGTTTTCAGGTATACCAACGCAGTTATGATCTATGCATGCAGCTCTATCAGAAAGAGATGCTGACAGAGAACTCGTATCAAAGCATTTATGGGCAAGTCCTTTTTATGATTTCAAATCTTCACAACTTGATTGTGATATATTCACATATATATATATGTGTATGTGTGTGTATAGAGGGTCAGGTTCAGGGGAAAACCGCAAAAAAAATGAAAAACTGAGTAACACCCTAGTAATCGTTCATCTGGACGGTATGCACATGTGCATACAAGTAATATTTGGAAGCAATTTGTCCGGTATGCACATGTGTATAACATGCACACGTGCATAAAACCAAAAACAACTTCAATTACTTGTATGCACATGTGCATACTTTCCAGATGAATGGTTTACCAAGGTGTTCCTCAGTTTTTCAACTTTTTAGGGTTTTCCCCTGAACCTCCCTCTCTCTCTAAGTATATATATATATATATATATATATATATATGCGTGTTAGCTCATTATGAAAATTTACCGATAAAGGGCATTTGTTTTTTGCTGCTGATTCAGGTTGCCTGCTGCTGATCTCAACAGTCAACAAGTTGCTATTGTTGCAGTAAGTCGTTGCTATTTATGTTAGTTTGTCGTGCCCCTGTTCTAGCCGAACTGTGCCCGAGCTTACTTGGCTCTGGGCCCATGAAAGTTAGGCTTGTACAGGCTCAGTTTTTGTAGGCTTAGATGTCGTGTGGACCAGCTTGGATACAAGAAATATTATTGAATTCAATTGTTCTTTTTTCTAACGGGATGTAGGGACTTTATGAGTGGAGAGACGTTATTGCTCGTTCAGAAGATGAAAGTACCGGTTATATATTGCCTAACAAAGTTCTTATTGAAGTTGGTAAATTGCTCTTTTTTTCTTTTAACCATGATCTTTAAAAGTTGTTTCTTTTCGACTGTTAATATTAACTTATTGTACATATCTACCTTTTCTTTGTAAAGCAAAGCAAATGCCGGTGACACCTGGGAAATTGCGTCACGTAATGAAGTCCAGACACCCGTATATTGAGCGCAACCTTGGTTCTGTTGTTAGCGTAATCAGGCATTCTATGCAGAATGCAGATGAATTTGAAGAGGCTGCCAAGAAACTGAAGGAAGATCACATTAGAATGGTGAACTTTTATGAATCTTTTTCTTTAAAATCATGTGAATCTTGATAATCTGCTTTCGAAGTTTTGATCTTTTTGGAAACCCTAATAAGGTATAACATAAAAGAAGGAAAACCCGAGACAAATATGTAAGTTTTATTTGAAGTAATGAAGTTACGACGGTAAAATTGTGCAGGTGGCTGCACGAAATGCTAAAATTGCTAATGCTGAAGAAACAGCAGAAGTTGCAGGAAGCGAAAGTATTAGTAATGCTACTGAAGGCGACTCTTTTGAAAAAGAAGTCGGAAATTTTATTGCTGGAGTAAACCAAAACAATAAATTGGACGGCTCTTCTGTATGCTATTGGCTCTCTTTCTTTTAATCCATCTCTTGACGTTCTTTTTAGTAAAAAGTGCGTGCTTTTTGTTTCAGTCTTCCAGAGTAAGTATCGAGGTTCAGAAGAAGCCAAGTCGTGCCTTTGGAGCGATGTTCGGAAACACAGCAGGAAAGAGGAAGTTCAATGTTGAATCAAAGGTGAAAAGATGTTTGAAATTTGTTTCTTATGTTAGTCTGTTGATTGTATTAATCTTTGTAGTCAAGATTATGTTATTTTGTTATTGTTGAAGGTTATTTTAGACATTTTGCCATGAGTCAAATAGATTGGTTAATCTTCGTTATGGTTACAGGCAACGGAGGAGATTAAGGTCGAACAGATCAAATCTTCTGTGTACCTCCCATTTCATTCTTTTGCCAATAAACCTGAGCCTTCGGTGAAGGAATCCGCTAAATCTCAAGAAATTTCAAATGTTGAAGAACCCCCTAAAGTTTTGCCAGCTACACCAAGCTCTAAACCGGAAAACGACATCATTTTGCTGGAATCTGATTCTGATGCCGAGGACGAGAATCCGGCGAGTGCTGCAGACTCAATGGCTGCTGATGATCAGAGCGCCGAGACCAAGAAGGAAGATGAAGACAATGTGATATTGTTGGATTCCGATTCTTGTTCTGATGAACCGAATCAGGGGGAAGAAAAAGATGCAGGTGAGGAGACCATGTCACTGTCGGATCTATCATCGAGCTTCCAGAAGTGCGTAAAGACTGCTGATGAGAAAAGAAAGTCGCACCAGGAGGATGAAAGTTCGGCGGGGCTGGTTAAGGTGACACCGTTTGATTATGCAGCGGCTAGGAAAGAAGTGAGGTTCGGGGAAGATGGTTYAGATGGGTCCGAAGRGGRAGATGGTAAACAAGGTAAGCRTGAAAGGAAGAAGGCGRGTGGTGGTGCTCGRAAAAAYGYYRCTGCTGGTGAAAGAAGCRGAGATTTCYAGCTRGGTAGGCRGCKYCAGGCTTTTCCRGCAACYRGTAACYGGAGTTYAAYTTTCCGGTGAATGTTGYSTGGGGAGACATCATGTTGTTTGATTCTATGTAGGAACTTTTATGAACTTTCACCAAAGAAACTTGATTGACAAAATGAACATCCAAAGTTATTTGAATCGGGTTTCTTTGGAGTTGATTTCGATGGGATTTTGCCTTTGATCAACCATCGTCAATTTTCATGCTCTTTTTGTTGTTAATCCTCCATATGCATCTTCGGTTTTTTGTGATTTCTGTGGATCGTACAATTTTCCGTATCAAGCGTAATTCAAGGGTCTAGATCATTTTTTACGCTTCTTATCTTTAACTCCTATTCTTATACTATCCTTCGTCTAATGTGATTTACATGAACGATCAATGAAGGGTATGCAAAGTAGCGTGAATTACTTTGTGATTTTAGTGTAAAATCACTTATGATTCGACTATTTTCTTGATCTTTTAAAGATCTTGTTGCAAACCTCTTTTCCGTTGTTAACTAGGTTACAAAGGAGAATGCGACATGTGTCTTCATTTATTCTTGTTCATAACCAATATGCACTTGTTACTATATTCATTATGAATGTTACGTAATTCATTGATAATTGTCTCGTGAACAAATGGGACACCTGTCGTCCCATATGGATAAATAATTTCACAGGGATTCATGTTTTAAGCTGAATACAAAGTTATTGGGTAATCTTGTTGCTTTGACAAGTTTACGAGAGCATGAGAGGAGGTAAGGTATCATTATCTTACAGGAAAGGACTAAAGTGTAACATTTTCATATCTCCGCTGGTCGCTTTCATCACCGGCCTCCTCCTCGTTCGCTATGGCTTTGGAAGGAGGAGGGACACTATCGGAGCTGTATCAGAGATCCAGGCGGTTGTTGTTGAAAACTAGAGATGATTTGGAGAGGCTCGAGCGGCTTGAGTTTTCTTCATCGGCGGGTGCCGTCGACTCGCCGGAACTATCAGTTGCCGTCCGGAGGGATGTCGCTCAAATCCAAACTCTTTGTTCCGAGATGGATGGACTTTGGCGATCCATTGCGTCAAAGCCCCAGAGAGATCTCTGGAAGAGGTTCGTTTCCTAGTGTTTCTTGTTGTTCAAGATTATCGCTTAAATTGTGAAATATGTGATCTGAATTTCCGTTTACCTTTCGTTCTGTTGGATCGAGTTGGAGTTTAATGTCAAATTAGCAGGAAGTGGGACATAGCGGTAGCTTATCACCGTAAGCTAGTTGTACAAAATTATCATGCTGCCTTCTAAACAAGGGTATTTGGGCCAAAAATAAGCATCATTGATGAAGTCTGGCGATCATGTAACCTTCTGGTGCGGAAAATCCGTACTCAGAATGTAGAGAAACCATAGATTTAGAGCTTTGAAATGAAGATTGACACTTAACGAGCAAGACCTTTCAAACACAGATGATGACAACTATTTGAGAGACTAATGGGAGAGGATCGTGAAATATGATCTCAATTTTGGATTTGGTAAAGCATTGATAACATGGTGAACTCTGGCAGAAAAGTGGAGCAAGTAGCCGAAGAGGCTGAGTCTTTGAGAGAAAGTTTAGATAGGTATATGCAGCGACATCAAAGAAGGATGCAAGAAGCACAAGAGAGGGCAGAATTGCTTGGAAGAGCTGTATGTAAATTATCTTATTTACTGTGTTACCCTTAATGTTTTGAGCAATAAGTTAGTTCATACGTTGTCAGCATCTCTGATTGCGACTATGCATTTATTTTAATTGTGGTTCAGAATGGGGAATCATCTCATGTTTTGCGAATTTTTGATGAGGAGGCACAAGCAATGCAGTCTGCCCGTAACTCCTCTCGGATGTTGGAAGAGGCATCTGCAACTGGAGCAGCCATTCTTGCTAAATACTCTGAACAAAGAGACCGCTTGAAGGTATTCCTAACATTTTCATTTACATTTAAATGTACACACATATACTTTTTCCCCCTCCAGTCATCTTAGTTTTTTGTAAATGCAACTGTAGCAGTGGATGATATTCTTCTTGAATAGCAACTGCAGCCTATATCAGACAAAGTTTAACTGGATGCATATAATATCCTAATAATTTATCATTGGCGTCAAAGATGTCAAGCTTGTGTTCTCTGTTCTATATAGCATTTCACGTAAAGTTTTGGTTCTTCTCTACTTACATAAAGATAGGATACTATCTGTTTGCTAGACCTATTATGTTTTGAGAAGAAAGCTTTAATGTCGACATATTGTTACAAATACAATAATAAAAATACTTCTTCTGGTCCATATAAACTGCCAACTACTACTTATTTGAAGATGCCAAAATTAGATTCCACATGCTCAGAATAGTGAGTCTTTTATGTTCCGTTGATTATGAATAATGATACTTTGAGCCCTCAAGCTAATAGTTAATAGTGTGCTCATTCTTTATCATAAATGCAAATAGCAATAAGACCGATGATTAGACATCATAAGGTTTATACTTTCTTATTCACTTTCCATTCTTGGTGTGGATGGAGGCTAGAGAGCAATCAACTTGAGCTTTGTACAATTCCAACCCTAGTTTATAACTTTGTACCAAGTTTCTTTTTGCACTCCTCTTCTTGAGGTTGCTGCTACTGCTAAATCTTGGATCAAGTTCGGCTGAATGTCAATTCCTTGCTTGTTTACTTTTCTTTTGTTTAAATACACAATGTGTGGTTGGTGAAGACTGAAGACCCACCTCTCTCTCTCTCTCCCACTCAATGATTCACATTGTCAGTTTGGCTTCTAAAGGGTTTCTTGGAGGGAAAATGGAAAAAAACATATTTCTATTTTTAGTTACTTGGCTAGATGCTTTAGTCATCACAGCTGAACTTCCTTATAAACATTATGTTTCTGAAAACTCTTCATATCCTCACAAACACAGCTCTTTGGTTATCAGAGCTTCAAAATAGATCATCTTTACTGGATTACTTTCTAGTCTTTACCATGTCAGAAGCTATTCACTGTTTCTGTGCTTCTTTATTTTATAAAATCCTCTTTCTTCTGTGTCTTGTTAGTTCTAGGATTCCTTTCATGCCATATTTATCATAACCTCCACTTTGTTTTCAGCATCTTTATGAAATCACTGCCAAAAACATCTTTTTGGGCCCTTGTTAGTGCGAGCATGGTAAGCATTTAGCAAAGAACCCGTTTTCAACTTGCAATCTTTAATATTGTGCTCCTTTACCCCGGGGACCTCCGAGGCTCCGACATTAAAGCCTTTTTATGTGGAATTGTGCCAGGGAGGTGGTTGTTAGCCAATCTTTATTTCTTAGGCCTTTTTATGCTGTCTCCTAGGTAAACTCAGTTCTATACATGATTCCCTACCTGCCACCAGTTGATCTTTAAATTAAATTCTGAAAACGCTACCAATGGTGCCTTGTTGTTCTATTGCAGGAGTATGCTGATAAATAGATGTTCAAAAGCTAAAAAATAAAAATTCCTTTAATTACTGGCAAAGTAAACACCCCATTGCCATGTGGCATAAATGCCAGTCCATGGTGAAGTAAATCAGTGGGACGTATGATCTTTCTTTCGTCAACTAGCCACCAGCTTTGGTCCTGTATCGCCAGTTGAATACCTATTTGTATAGTTTAACTTCTACAGTACAATATATCTGGTTTCTAAATGAATCCTGATGGTCTTCTTTCCGAATCTGGATTTAGATTTGTGGACATGATGATCAACTTCACTAAGATTGGATTATTTGTGCAGGGAGCTCAAAGGAAAGCATTGGATGTGCTCAACACTCTGGGGCTATCAAATTCTGTATTGAGGATCATTGAGAGGCGGAATCGAGTTGATCAATGGATTAAATATGCTGGCATGATCCTCACATTCATCATAGTGATTGCTTTCTTGAGATGGGCTAGGTGATCTGTTATTTCTCCATTCTCGAACTTGAACTAGCCTTTGTTGTGTATTCCCCCTTATCTTGCTTTTTATACTAAAATGGCATTTTGGTTGATAAGAAATCATTTTTTTGTAGAATCATAATAGCTTCATTGTACTGTCCAACTCTTTTCTAAAGGTACTCCATTAGTGTATGCTCTTTGGTCCCATGAAATGTTGAAATGCTTCTTTGTTTTTTGGCTCAGTTTAAGCCAAAAGGTACCCATTTGTTCATTGCCATCATTTCATTTTACCATGCTGCCAGTTTTATTTTAGGCTCCTGAAACATCTCATTGAGTTTATTATACGGTGCCGAAATAAAGCCATAAAGTGTTAGATTGCATAAAGTATTAGAGCAATCTCTAACGTAAGGTTATTATAAGCAGAAAGTGCAGCTTTCTACGAGAACCAACATTGTGGGGAGTTCTTATAAGAACCTCACCCTTTTGAGTTTTTATACAAGAACTTTGGTTCTTACCTTGAAGTTGATGTCAAGTGATAATTTTGTATGTTTTTTTAATATGTTTTAAATTGAACATTTTATATTTATTTATAAATATATAATAATGATTGATGTTGAAAAAATATATAAGACCCACAAAAAAGTTCTATAAGAACCTACTATTGTGGATATTTCTACGAGCTCTTAATTTGATAACTTAAAAAGTGACGTAACAATAAAAATCTTAATTTGATAACTTGAAAGTGATGTAATAATAAAAAAATACACAAGGTATATTAAGATGCAACCTCTGAATTGTAATAATAAAAAAATACACAAGGTATATTATACACAAGGTATAAAAAAATCTTAATTTTAAAAGAACCTTTGTTGAAGATGCTTTTTTAAGAGCCCTTGACAAATAAGGGGTTGTTTGTTTACCTTTTAATAGTTTCATTAAGATGCAACCTCTGAATTGTTAAGAGGTGAATCTTGTTTGGCAAAAAAAAATTCTGCCTCTTAATGATTCTAAAACCCTCTGAATGATTATGTATCATGGATCTCCCTTAATCATTAAGAGCCCTAATTTCATTGTACACAATTACCAAACAATTATATTTTATTTTGCACTATATCATGAAAGTCTCTTAATCATTCTGACCATTTAATTATTCTACACCAAACCAACAATTGTCAAACAGCCCCTACAACATGCAAGTCAACTAAAATTAGGCACTAATTGACACGCATTTTGATTCAATTTCTTTTACAAATTCCTAACTCAAGGTTGGAATTGCAAACATATTGTATTCTCAAATAAATTATTTAAAAAATAAAAAACAATAATTGTCATACGACATTTGTGAATACTAATTGCAATTGCAGATATATGTAGTGGTATTATGACATTTAAGTATATTTTTGTATTAAATATCATGGATACCATTCTTTAAAGAACTTTTTTTTTGAAGAAATTAGATCAAACATGACAAAATTGATCCGATGTATATGTGAGATATGATTTATGACTTGAAAGTTAAGTTTTGTTTGCATAATAACAAAATTAGTAAAAGAATCAATTCATCGTCATTTGATTTTAATATAAACGTTTTTGTTTTCTTAAATTTTAAATTTTTCGTTTTACTGTTTTAATAAAATACAGATGACACATAACTTGATACGCTTATTTGATTAACAAGTAAATATACAGAGAAAGGACGATATGATCACAAAATAAATGCTTAAGAGAGTATTTTCTGTCACTTGTTAAATAAAAACTATTCATATTTAAAAAATGGAGAAGAATAAGGTTGGACAAGACATGACTGGACATAACAGGACAAGAGGGTAAGGCTGGACAAGACATGACTGGACGAGACAGGACTAGACATAGCAGGAGTATGTCTAGTGTTTGATACAACTAGGACTGGACGAAACAAAACTAGACAAGTTACCCTCAAAAGTTATTTGATGATTTTAAATATTATATAATAGTTATCATTAACACAAATAAAGTAAATAATTAATGAATTTAATTTATAAATATTTGTACATAATTTTCATATTTGTACCAAATTTGAATAAATTTTTTGATACAATTGATGATAGTGGTGGCGGTGGAGGTGGTGGCCAACGATGGTAGTGGCAACGGGCGATGGTGGTCGGTGGCCGACAGTGGTTATGGAGGTAGAGGCAATGGTGCTTGGTGGACCACGGTGGTTATAAAGGACATGAAGATGATAAATTGTGGTGGCGGTTGACAACAGTGGAGAAGATAGTTGTGGTTGATGTACTGAAGATAGTGGTGGTAGTTATGGTGGAGGTGAGGTGGCAATAAATGGTGGTGGCCGGTGGTGGTCGTAGAGGAGGTTGTTGCAGTAGAGGAGTTGAAGGTGGCGAACAGCGGTAGTGACGATGGCAATGGATGGTGGTGGTCGGTGGTCGACTATGGTAGAGATGGCAATGGACTTGGTGGACGGTGGTTGTGGAGGTGGTGGAGGATATTGTTGTAGTGGAAGAGGAGATAGAGGTGGAGGTGGCCGCCGGTGATTGCCAGTAGTGGTGATGGCGGCCGAAACTAGCGGTGATGACCATTAAAACAAATACCATATTAAGGTTATATATCAAACTAGGGTAGATTAATAATATTTTAGTTTCTGTCCCATTCTTATTCCACCTATTTTGGTGGAACAAGAAAAAACCTCTTTTATCTCATGTTGTTCCACCTTGTTTCAGTTTTTGTCCCTATAGCATGTCACGTCAAACATGAGACAGTGAGTTATTGTTCTCTCACATACTATGCCAAACATGGGACGATAAATTTTATCCCGTCCTAATTATCCTTTCTTGTCTCATTCCGTCTCATATACCAAACGCAGCATAAGCGATAAAATATTAATTCTATTGTTTCCGGACTCGCAAAATTATATTTAAATTCCAAAATATAGACTTTCCTTAACCGAGACGCAACGCGCCGCCACACGCGGCATGGACTCGCTAATAACAAATAGAGGGTGTGGGGGAGTTCGACGGCCCGTGCTCTCTCCTTCGTCCAAGGAGAAATGACGATGGCTACTACCACGGCTCTTACTCTTACTCCTACTTCTACTCTTGTCCTCTTATGCATTTTCTATGCTTTCCTGTGGATCTCACTTTGCTTCGACCACAATCGCCCTTCACTTCAAGGTACGAACTGATCGTTCATGTTACTTTTTGCGGTTTTTGCTTATCTGAGAAACATGCGGGGAAGAACGCATTTCCTTGTGATCTGGCATCATTTCTTAACTTGATTGTTGTTAGCAATTTTGCATTGAGGTATATGTGGTTCGTAGTTGCTGTCTGACTGAAGTTTGATTTAAGAGTTTCATTCGTTCTATTGTTTATAGGATTTTTAATTAGGGTTCCATCCCTGCAATTTTATTTTATATTCAGTATCTAGTTATATAAATGACAGCCACTTCTAACACCCGATGCTCCTCGTTGATGTCTTTTTGGTTTTAAAAAAAGGCGGAAAATCACTATAAGGAACATGTAAACAATCTTAATTATGGGCATGTTGTTTTTACCATAACAATTTCCTTTTGCCTAGCAATGGTAGGGGATAGCTGGGTGGATGCTCCTCAAATTATGATACTAACTATTATCAGCACTTGAAACCACAGGCATTGATGTGCAAAATCCAGTCATAGATGTCGTTCCAGCACCAATTAATGACCCTTCTGAAGGATCTGAAGACGTTCTATACTGTGGGCGTGTTCCTGTATCTGGTATATCCCGATTGAAACTCCAGCATTATGCAAGTGTGTATCGGCTTACATTGGTCCCTTCGGCATTGATCCCTAAGCAATGGCAGAACAGGATTCAAGTTTGCTTTCACGGGTAATGGGTCTCAGGTTCATTCCTGTTGCTAGTTTTTTCTGGCTTTTTTCTCTCCTCATGCCATCATGTCTGAATTTCCATATACTGATTTACACATGAAGGTCGGAGGATATGTCTCTCTAACTAAGTTTCTTGCAGGAATTCTTCACTTGGATTATGCCAGTGTGAAAAGGATGAATGGAGATCTCTTCAAAATGGGTTATGGAGTTCTACGATGGCACCTTATGTTCAGAATTATGTTGATGTGAAATTTGATAACGTGGTTACTGGTTCTGTAACTGTCTCTCTTGATGAAGGTCAGGTGTTTATCTGTATTTATTTCTCTCTATTTGCTCAAATCTGTTTTTTGTTTGTTTTGATTTTTTTGGTCATTGTGTTGTGTGCAGTGCAACAGGGATGGCGTTACATATTGCTTGCTGGAGGCCTTGTTTTACTGTTTCTGGCACCCATTGTCAGCGAATGGGTTCCCTTCTATTATACCAGTTCTATGGCTATTGGAATTTTAGCTGTTGTTATCATACTTCTTTATCAGGTACATGTTTCTCTTTTCCTATGCATGAGATTGTCCATTCATGTACCAAGATGATACAATCCAATGAAATTAATCTGGACTTTGCCAATCCACTCCCTAAATATTCTATGACTGATAGCTTACCGTTGCCCCTTTTTTTTTGCAAAAAAAATATTGTTTGAATACAATCCAATGAAATTAATCTGGACTTTGCCAATCCATTATACCATGGTTGAAATTAGGACATCATTTACACCATTTTACAATTTAAATCCCCATTATGTCAGTCTTCTTCAGAAATCCCTGATAAATCAGCTGAAATAAATAGATTTTAGACCACTAGATTAGAGAAAAGATTTGTTTCTTCGAAATATTTTTCTTTCATTTTTTATGCCATTCTTAGCTATATCTTTGCCTCTCCGCCTCCATTTTCTAGTAGTTGATTTTTTAATTATGTTATTTTTATTGTTGGTCACTGGACAGGCAAGGAAATTGCTGCCAACTGGTAGGAGAAATGCCTTTTACCTTGGTATAATGTCTTCAGTGGTAAGTGTTTTTCCTCTTACAGTGTTCCTCACTTTTGCGTTGTAAAACTCACACACACACACACACACATCTTTTTTCTGATAATTTTTAATATTTGGCTAAAATAAAGACGTGTAATTTCCACTTTCACTGAGAATGAAAAATGAGAAGGTATTAACTTGTAACAAAAGAGATCCATCACATGTATTTATACCAATCTAACACTCACCATATAAAAAAAGTGAAAATACTGTTATACCCTATATTTTAAAATCCCCCCTCAATATGAGCATGGAGAACTTTCCAATGTCATTTTGAACATGAAATGGGAATCATAAAATATCGAAAACAAATGAGCAATAACGACAGATCCATCGAGCTCAGCATCTATTATGGGAGCATTTTGAGCAAAGACATTATTTTCTCATCGGTGCTTGGCATGTATATATGGTAGCAATTGGAGCGACAACGATGGGATTATGGGATCAATTCAGTTTTGTAGCTCGGTGCATCCGTAATTCGATGATAACAACAAAAGATATTGGAAGGGACCTAAAAGTTAACACTAATTTGAAACTAAAACAGAAAACAGAGAATAAGCAGTATGTCAAAAATGCATTAGAGTTACCATGTGCTTACATTTAATTGCTTATCTATAGTCATATTCAGGTTTAATACACCTGTAGCCATTGAATTACTCAACTAATTGAATTCTCCACTGCTCTCCTCCTCCTCCTCCTCTCTTCTATTATTTCCACACTGAAGTCCTCATATGCTGATAGATGACCGTGGGACTTTGCACCCAGTTGCCATACTGTCAAAAACTTATAGTAGGAGCATACCACCCTACTTCATCCTATAAAAATGGAAAGAACAAAACTTTTCCTCACCTTGTTGGAATCTTTGACCTCATTTCTGATCTTCTGTTTTGTAACTTCATGCCCTTTATAATTTCTATCAATCTTCCAGTAACGAGTAACCGCATATAAGTCTTCTAAGAGCTTTGATAACAGTTGACACAGGATGCCATGCAGTTCTGTTGTTAAGAAGGCTAAAAACTGGTGACATTGAAGTCAACTGAACAAAATAGGAATGGTGGTATGCGTATGCCAAGTCTTTTTGGTCTGACAAATACGACCTAATGTCCTATTGACATTTCAAATGAGGATCCTCTCAAATCTTTTTTTATTGAGAAAGGTCTTGAGAAAACCATATCACTGTTATACAACTGCATGCCAAGGAAATATCATTCTCATTCTGTATGGCGCTGTCATCCATCTCTTTACGTTAAATATGATGTGATCTTAGTGGAACTCGATAACTTGTGGTGATAAATTGAGATACCCAGCCTGTCAGTTTGGTTAATTGGGTATACATCAGCATAGAGATCGTCTAGCAATTAACATCAAAGCTTTTCATTATTGGAAAATGACAATATTTGCTTTGCTGTGAATGATGCCGTAAGGGTCTATTGGGCCTTCAAAACTTGATATCTCAAATGATGCCAACGACTCATATATAAGACTTGGGAAGCCAGGATCATTTGTGGTTTCCAAAATGTGTGTTGTTATTACTTTGTCTTTTGTAATGTTTTCAGCTTGGAGCAGGATCTTTTGTGGCGCGAAACCTTTCAGCATTCCTCAATTCATTTCTCCAAAACTTTGGGATAAGTAAAGAAGTCCAGAACCCAGTAAGTCCTTCCATTCTACATTTTTGGTTACTTTGCAATAAAATGTGTTATCTTGCTTGCTTCTTATCATTATGGTGTTGTAGATTACAGAATTTAGTTTCAGAGGTAAGCTACATCTTTATAAGTTTGTGCCAATACCTCTTATTATGATTGCTTTAACACAGTACATCATATGTTAACATGTACTAGAAATTGGCCAATTGCAGTGTGTAGTACACATATGTATATATTCACAGTTACAGTGGAAAGATGCATCTATATGTATTTTCATCTTTGTTTTCACTGTTTACGTAATTGCACACATTGTGAATGAAGTTGTATACACAACTCTTGATCCAAAAGTTCCTACACAGTCTTCCGTGAAAGATGCTACTGATTCCATCCCTTACTCTGTGCCTCCTTCTGGTCATGGAAATGAGCTCCTCTTTGACTTCGGATTTCAAACATGCTACTACATCAGATATTAGAACTCAACATTGTTACGGGATTATAAGGTTTTTGCTAGAAAATTGCTACCTGCATTAGCTTGTAACCTTTATCACAAATAAATTAATGTTGGTTCAGTTTGCAAAAAAGTTCCTTATTACTTTGGCATCTGAAAAATATTAGCCTTGAGATCAAAACGTCAAAGGGTAGGTCTCTCGTTTTGTATGGTTGCATAAACACAGACAGATCCAGACCATCTTTCCTCCAATGTGCTTTTCAATATGTTTATTGGAAATCTGGGAAGAATATTTATATAAATCTTGTATTCGCTCTAAAGGAACGAATGAATGGTTCTGTGGGCATAATCGGTTGGAAGATATAATTGGTATCAGCAAGAATCTCATGCAATTATTATGCTAATTGATTGATAAAAAGAAATTCAAGCAAATGAAATCTTTTCACATTTGAAGACAAATTTTCTGGGCAAAGTTGTGTGGATAGTCTAGAAATTTTCGGTGAGCTCTTCTATAGGTGCCTTTGTTGGGTTTTTTTTGGTACATCCCGACTTCTTCTTCCAAGATATGCTTTACTCTGGTACAACTATTTTCTTGGCCTTTTGCAGCTGACTTGTTGTGTATGCAAGTAAAAGTCGGCTCACCTAGAACTGAAAATATTTTGTTTATGATGTAGTTTGAACATGGTTTTATCGTGGTCGAACGTCCTCTTTTGTTAAAATGAGTGCCATGATAAACTGACTTAATGTGTATGACCTTTAATCTTGTAGGTTTATGTTTTTGTTGTGCTTGGAATCATTATCTTAGGAGCTGCTCTTGGATATTGGCTGGTGCGGAGATATGTTGTTTCTGAAGATGGAGAAGTTGACGTTGGTGTAGCTCAATTTATCAGATGGTCCATTCGTGTTGTTGCAGTCACATGTATTTTCCTGGTGGGTTGTTTTGTTCATTTATAACTTGCATATTTGCAAAGATAGTTTATGGTTTGATGAATTCTATATCTGATGCATTGGTTGTTCTATTTGTTTCCCTAGCTTCTTAATTGGAATCACTATAATCGTGGGATTCTAGTTTTTTGTTTATTCAGTTAGGTTTTCATAGTTTGATTTATTTTTTGCCTACATCAGGTACATGGGTTTTTTATATGTAAAAAATTACTGTGATTCATTTTTGGACTTTTAAACCTACTACCTATCTTCACTGGACTTAAATTTTTTTTTTTTGGATGAAGGGAGTACACCATGTCAAATATGATGTTTATTTTATGTATTCAGCTGTGTGCTTAGAGCTCCAACTGTGGGCGTATCATCATCTGGTGCTGTTTTTTTTTGTCTTCTGACCCATGTACTGTACTCACTTTTTTAGGTTTTCTTCTCTTTTTCAGAGCACCAATGACACCCCTTTGGCGATGGTGGCAGTGGGGTCTTGTTTGACACTATATCATGTGATCACTAAGATGAAGAGACGATCCGATCAGTAAGTTCTACATTGCTCTTTGTTTCTGCCTGCAAGTTAAATTGATTCAAGTGAAGGCATTGTATCATTGTAATCTGATTGGTTAGAGGTCCCACTTATATGGTAAAGAACAAATTACTATGAATTTTTGCAGGGATCGATCATATTCTGGAAGGGGGAATCTCTGGGCTTGGAGTAAACAAACAACCCCAAAGCATGGACAGGCTGAATTCCTTGGCCGGTCAAAAAAGATTAGCCCTTGGGGAAGTCCTTGGAATGGTACAAGGAACTCTTTCGCATGGTCCAACTCCCCCATCAAAAGTACATACATCTTTTACTTTCCAAAATTTCCTTTTCCGTTGTACTTGTGTAAAATATCACATTCATATTCATTCATTTTGCGTGTTCCTGTTTGATCTTTGAAGGCAAGCTCTCCCCATCTACCAATTCAGAGTCAACAGGAAGCCAACGTGACGTTTACTCAACGTTTCACAAGACTCCTAACAGGAAGAAGTTCTCAAAGGAGGAATGGGAAGAATTCACAGAGGAATCAACGAGACAGTCGGTTGCTGAATTGGCATCTTCTCCAGAATTCACCGATTGGGTCATCAAGAATGCGGATAGAATCAAACTCCTCCCTGAAGATTGTTCAGAGGATATAGATGCAAGCGGATCTTCAGATTCTACAGACGAGTGTGAGCAACAGAGCGGAACTGGGCAAGGTTTTTTCAACTGGCAAATGCGTAAGTGAAGAAGGTTTACAAAATAATCGATGACATTAGGGTGCTAAATATCACTGACCTACTGATTTGCTAAGGAAAACGTATAACGATGTTTGTAGCGTATTAGGAATTTTTACAAGAACATCTGTATAGTTTTTGTTTACCATAGTTTTACAGTGCTTATGTTTCTTGATTCTTTATGGAGTAGTTTTTACGCAAATATGTTAAATTTGTATTGACGTTAAAATAGAAAGGTCAAAGTTGGAATCGATTGGATGCATGTACAAGGAAACGATTGAAAATTGGATAGAGCTGTTGATGGTTAGGTTTGACTTTACAGATTGAAGCCCATACCACAAGCAATGTTTTATTCATTGAATTAAAACTTCCATCCATTCAGTAAAAACGGTTTCGAGACTGTTTGTTTATCTTTTAATAGTTCCATTAAGAGGTAACCTTTGAATCGTTAAGAGGTGAATTTTGTTTGGCAAAAAAAAAATCTGCCTCTTAATGGTTTTAAAACCCTCTGAATGATTTTGTATCTTGGATCTCTCTTAACCATTAAGAGCCCTAGTTTCATTGTACACAATTACCAAACAATTATATTTCATTTTACACTATATCATGAAAGCCTTGCTGTTTGGCAGTTGCTGAATGGTTTAGTGCAATATGATTAAGTGGTCAGAATGATTAAGAGACTCTGTATGGTTTAGTGTCAGATAGAAAAAGGTTGTTTGGAAACTGTTCTGAATCAACTGTCTGAATGACATAAAATTACCATTTTACCCTCAGACTTATGTTTAATGAAAATTAACGTTTAACAACAGTTGTGAAGGAAATTTCTAAATGAAAAAATAAAAAATAATTAGTGGTCCAAGCCAATACATAATATTAGATCAATCCAAACAAGCATGACAATGTTTGTTAACATCTAATTTAAAAAGTTTGGTAAACGACCTCTTAGGATAGAAAAAGTTTACAAGAAGATAAATGCAGATTATTTATCCACCATATAATTCTAATACCCAACATCTTGTTTTGGTAAATGTGGAAGGAAGTCCAATCCAAGCACCCCACCTCCGATATCATCAATATTATAATATTACTCAAATTGTACCAAAACCGTGGGAGGGAATACATAAAACCATGGATTGTTTTAATTCCAAATTGTCATCTCAAAAGTGGGTTTTCCATCAACCTAGAAGAAGCATCTGGAGCTTTGTTAAAATGCTTTTTCTATTTAGAAGGCTTGCTGAGGTTTTCTTTTTCTTCTCCCTTTTGTTTTCAACGATGGTGGCAGATGTGCCAAGCTTTACAGCTACAACATTAATAGAGATTCAGAGAGGATCAAACAAGGTACAGCTTGTCTAGGGTTTATGATTCAGAAGAAGGGTGAGACCGAGGATGAACGAGAAGAAGGTTTTGCTGGTGCGATTCCTACAACCGATCGATAGAACAGAGGGTCGCTTGGAGAAATCGAGGGAGCCAGACCTGACCACTTAATCATTATGCACTAAACCATTCGGCATTTGGTAAACGACCACTTAATCATTATGCACTAACTACTTAAATCGTATGGAGGGCATGTGGGTGAAGGAGCGATTCAGATCTAAACTTACCATTCAAACTTTTTTAAAAACCTATCCAAACAATAAAATGTCTAACCGAATCAGACCCTCACCTCTTAATGGTATCATTAAGAGGTAAACAAACAACCCCAATCATTCTGACCACTTAATCATTATGCACTAAACCATTCAACAATTACAAAAAAAACCCTTGAGTTAAACCATCAAAGGAGTTGTATATTTGATTTACATCACCCAAATTCACGTCATTTGACACGGTCAATTAGGTAATGTAGTATTAAATAGGAAATTTCAAACTGTATTAAGTTGATCCTTGACCTAGAAAAAAAATTATGAATTATATATTATAAATTAATCAAATTCAAATTTATATTTTTCTAATAATAGTAATTACATCATTTATATCGATTTTAAATAATAACAAATTTACGATAAGGAGATAAAAGAGAACGACCTTGATAAAAAGAAGTATATAACGGTTATATCAACCGTTTATTACTAATTTTGAACAAATAATTTAAGTAATAATAATGAAAACCAATTTACCATATATATATATATATATGTGTGTGTATATATATAGAGAGAGATTCCCATATATTCATAGCATTGTTCCAACCAAGTTAAAATTATTTTTCAGAATAATAAAATATTAAGTTATTTGATCGAATTATTCATTTATTGTTTTTTTTAAACGTTTTACAAGATTAAATTCTGAGCCTTAGACAACTCGTGAAATTTTTGTTCTCAAATTTAGAAATCACAAACATAAATTCGTTATTATTTAATAGATCAGTATATCAATAATTAAAATGTAAAAATAACAAATATAAATTTGAATAAAACCAAAACCTATATATACACCGACAATATATATGTATAATATATATATATATGTATATATAGGGTATATTTCAAATACAATCATGTCTATTTGTACAACCAATGCAACTCAATTAATTGAGATATTTATGAAAATGATGATAGTTCATTTATTATGATTTCAATATTTATAGAAGATGAATATGGTTCATTAATTATGATCAATACTTTATATTAGAAAACAATCAAAACTTCTATGAAATCACATATTCATCAAACTAAATGGACGGTTAAGATTGGATTGTATTGATTGTACAAATGTAAAAGATTGTATAATAACCAACATCTCTCTCTCTCTCTATATATATATATATATAGAGAGAGAGAGAGAGAGAGAGAGAGACACTTGAGATCATATGAGACCAGCATGTTTTCGTGAGACCCGTGAGACCAACATTTTACACTTGAAACTTCACAGCAAAATGTTGTGAAGGTGACTTTTTAAAACCTTCACAGTGTTTTTGCTGTGAAGGTTACGTGTAAAAATGTGGTCTCACGGGTCTCACGAAAACATACTGGTCTCACGTGAACCCAACCCTATATATATATATATAGGGAAGGGTTCAAACGAGAACCTCTGTGATTTACGAAAACGCGAGAACAACTCAATAACCACATATTGTGATAAAAAATAAAATTAAAAGATTTTTAAAATTTAAATTTAAATTTAAAAAAATTCAAAAAACTTTAAAATTAAAAGGGTAATAATGAAAATGATATATTATCTAGAAAACGGTTAGAATCTTTTAAACTTATCAATAAACACAATCAAAATCTTTTAAACTTATCATTATCATCTACAAAACGGTTACGATTACAAGTCTAACTTTAAATCGCAAGAACTACGGACGGCGACGGTGTTGATCGACGGTGACCAACCAAGAACACACAACCGTAATCGACCAAGAACCCTAATCGAGAAGCCATTGCATGCAACAAGCAACCCTAATCATGTGATAATCATGTGATAGGGGTGTGATAATCATCGTTATACATCACTTGGATTATCGTTTTGGTTGATAAGTTAAATTTTTGGTGTAATCATGTGATATGAGTGTGATAATCATGTGATAATCATCGTTATACATCACTTGAGTTATCGTTTTGGTTGATAAGTTAAAATTTTGGTGTAATCATGTGATATGAGTG